TAAAAAATAAAAATTTATGACTTGATATAAAAATTTAAGTTTGTATGTTTAAATAGGAAACATGTCAAAATTGGTGTAGTTATTTGTACAAAAAAAAAAAAGAAAAAAACACCCAAACAGAGGCACAAAGCCACCAATAAATAAGACAGAAGAAAAATGCATATAAAACCAAGAGCAGTGCTAGGGGCACTCGCCTCCTGCACTCTCTGGCCGACACTTTCACTTTTATTGGGCCACGTTATTCTGGTTTTAAGAGGTTGGACTTCAAAGCTGAAACAAGCTTACGTGGCCATTATTTTCAACTTCGGCGATTCCAACTCCGACACCGGCGGTCTACTGGCCGGACTAGGCTTCCCCGTCAATCCCCCTTACGGCCGTTCCTTCTTCCGCCGATCAACTGGAAGGTTGTCTGATGGACGGCTCCTGATTGACTTTCTCTGTAAGTATACACTTTCTTCTTTCTTCCTGTGGGAATCAACACTCAAAAAGTATGCATATTCAACGGCTGTGATGAAATGATAGGCCTCAAAAAAAAATTTTTTTTTGATAAATATATAGGCCTCAATTTGTACATGGCGGAGAATGCCGCGTTAGATTTTTTGAAAGTTTCTAGTTTTTAGCCGTTAAATGCGAACGGACGTTACTGGTAGTCCTCCACAGTCCACACTCCACAATTTCAATCGCTGCCTCTCCCTTGTTTCGAATAAATAAAAACGATTTTCTTTCTATTTTTGTAACTCAAATTATTTTAAGGTTTTTTAGCCAAAAAATTTTATTTTAAGGTTAAAAAAAAAAAGAGAAAAGCTTAGCACTTCTAAATGAAGAGCATAAACAAAGATTTATTATATGCTAGTGATGCCTCAAATTTAGTAGTTATGTATTTAAATATTGAGAATCTACGATTTTAAAATTGTGAGTTCAATTCCTAAAAATAAAAGATTTTCTCTAAATTTTCCAAAATTGAATATATGCACCATGTACATGTTGTATACTAACACAATCGATATAACTAAATGAAAATCACTTCTATACTTATGGTATAGTCCTGAATTTTTGTCAAGTTTTGAAATTATTTTCTATAATTTCATTATTCAACACTTCTAGCTGCATAAATCTTTCGTTGTGAATAAAATATATGGGATTTTCATTATTAGAAGTATAATATAATATAATAAGAAGAGAGTATAAGGTAAATTGTCTTTTAAAATTTTTTTAGATAACTTGATTAAAAACTCATATTTTAATTAATACTTATAAAAACTGTTTATTGGATTGAAAGTTCTATTTATGTAAATTAGATATATAAATTTTCATATTAGTCAAATATTTATAATTCTTTCATCAAAGAAACTCTTTTTATTAACATATATTTAATAATGTTAAATTTTTTGTACCAAAGTGGTTAAATTTATTAAAACAATTGAAAAATTAACATATATAATCAAAATAAATATAACTCTCAATTTATTAGTTGGTTTTCAAAATATTAATTAAAAAATATATTTTTAAATATGTTTTTTTTAAAATAATTTAAAAGGATGATGATATGTAACACACTTTTCTTATATGATACATTTTTTTTAACTGTAAATAATATAATATAATAATGTCTGCCTTAATACTACTACAACTGCATAAAATTCAATCATTTATCTAGTAATTTAATTTCCTTAGTTCCCATGGCGTCTTTCAAATCAAAATAAAAATGGAAAATGTAATTGAAAAACCATATATTTTTTTCTCTAGTTTAAATGAGCCCTCAACTCAATTGATGAGAGGCATTTTGATATTCTCTTACAAAGTTAAAGATTTAGGTTGCGTCGGAAATTGTTTTCTTACCAGGCTTTTTAACCCAACAGTTCATAAAAATATTAATTTA